CACACACACACATAATCACACAAACGCACCTGCACACACACTTGCACACACACACACACTCGCACACACAAACGCCCATACCTTGCAGTAGTTTTGGTTGTCGTTCTGGGAAACAGAGATGATAGTTGCGTCGGGCTGTGCGCGGAGAAAAGCTTTGACCTGACGCGTAATGTAGTTGACCAGAGAGGCATTGCTCCAGCACAGCTGCCCGTACGCCTTTGGGTCGTCGTGGGGCCAGAACCACTCGTTGTTCGTCTTGAACAGATCTGTAACGCAAAGGCGCAGGTGGGTGAATGGATGTCTGATGGAATGAATGAACGATGAGATGGATGATGGGTGAAGGGGATGGGTGAGTGATTGAGAACGTGTGCAGGCCGAGACAAACGTGGACATGCACAGCTCAACAACGTTGATCGCTTTCATCTCGCAGAAACACAATGCACGTGTACATAGCTGCACACACAGCTGCGCACAACACACATACAATCCATTGTGATGGTTGCGAGCACCTGTTGGCGGGTGCTGGCCGCCGCCTGTGGTGTTGTCGCCAAAGAGGCGATACGACGTGTGCACAAAACCAGGCGGTGACGCGTAGACAATGGAGCCGCCGCGACTCGCGTTGTACGGTCCCTGTGGCCCACAGACAGTGTCAATACATGTACTGATAAGAAGCAATTGGGATGGAGGAGGAGGGGGGGGGGGGGCGAACAGCAAAGAAACGTCTGGTACTTGCAGCTACTGTCAGCAACAAGCTCAAAAGCCAAAGACACGAGGCACACGTGCACATGTGGACTCTCTCTCACTCTCTCTCTCGCTGTCTCTCTCTCTCTCTCCACCCTCGCTCTCACATTCACGCACACACACACACACACACACACACACACACACCACCTCCTCCTCCTCCACACACACACACACACACACACATCTTCGTTTTAGTCGTACTGGTGGCCCGCTCAAATCTTGAAGTTAATCGAATCACGACAATAAGAAGGGTAAGGTGGTCGGTGGTTCTCTAATTTGCGCCCCCTATATACTTTGAACCGATACCGAATCTACCCGAGTTCCCGTAGCACGTGCAAGGCGTCGGAGTACCGGCATCTAGCTAGCGCGTGTTCAAGAACCGTCTTCGGCCGGCCAGGGTTCGTGATCGGCAGTTAATAAGTAGGGCTGACTACTACACACACACACACACACACACACACACACACACACACACACACACACACACACACACCCTCTCTCCCTCACACGCACACACACACACACACATGGGCATACCTGGTTGATGAACTGCGTGATGCCCCAGGTGGGATGGCCAGAGACGCCCCACTCGTTGTTTGCGCGATACTCCAGCTCTGGCACAAATGTGGAGTTTGTCAGTGTTGGGAGCGCCTTTGGGTCCCACAGCGGCACATACGTGTCGTTCCACGAGAGAAAGTGCACGCCACCGTGGTTCAGGTACCGGTACACGCCATACAGCGCGCCGCGCGGTGCACCCTCAGCCCCCGCAATGGCAAAGCACTTGCTGTGCGTCCCACTGTCCACATAACTGCCTTCCAAGCCAAGCCCTGCAGTTGCAATCATGCCGTCAGCACAAGCGTGTATCTGATACGGGGGCACATGTAGGCATGCAGGCAGGCAGCCAAACACGCAGGCGGGAAAACATGCAGTTGCAGACACACACACACACACACACACGCGCGCGCGCGCACACACACACACACACACACACACACGCGCACACACACACACGCACACCACATACGCACCATCAAGGAGGTCGTGATTCAGACCGCATGCGGTGGCTGCATCGTATCCGACTGCAAACGTCTGCGCCGGCAGTGCCATGGAGATGAGGCCCGACAGGGTAGAGGCGGTGGAATTTGTGGGTGCACTGTGCCATACACACTGCAGCTTGGGCTCTGTTCACTGACCGTGAGCGCGTCTGATCCTTGCGGTGAACACGCTCCCGACTTGACCACATTCACGGTGGCTGCCGTGCCAATGGCCTGCGAAATCACGCATGTGTGCACTTGTGTCAGCGCGAGAGCGGGGCAACCACATACACTCTGATCGAGGCGTGCGTATGCCAGTGATCGCGGAAGAGTACGTGGTCAAAGCTCTCTGCACAGACAGACAGGTAGACAGGTAGACAGAGAGGCAGGTAGACAGACAGGCACACAGACAGACACACACACACAGACAGACAGAGACAGGTAGACAGGTAGACAGACAGATAGAAACACACACAGACAGACAGACACACTCACACACACAGACACACTCACACACACTCACACACACACAGACACACTCACACACACACAGACACACTCACACACACTCACACAACACAAAACAACACACCTGTTGCAAAAATGTGGCCAGCTCATCTGCGGCGTGCAGTTCGACTTTGCTTGCTGTGGTGGCGACACAGACATCCACACTCGGCGCAGCTGTGGCAAGTGGGGCGACACCCACCACTGCCACCAGCAGCACCAGCATCGTCGCCAGCATCGTTCACTGGGCGTTGTTTTTGTTTGGATTTGCTCGCGCAGAATAAAAATTATTGTGATGTTTGACGATATTTTCATGTAGTTTTCGCGTTGCGTTGGGCATCTGCTTGTTGGTTGGTTTGCGCCTCTTGTTCTTCCTTCCACTGCCACACACTTTCCCATCAACTCCACCTACGTCTCTTTGCGTTCACCTTCTTTCCGCCGCCCTCCTTGACCAACAACAACAGCCACTCCACGATGGCTCGCCCACCCAAGCCATGGCTGAAGGGCCAGGTCGATGATCTTGTGTCTCTTCCCCAGCTGGACGACACGATCCTCTTGCAAGAGCTGCACGAGCGATACAAGCTCAAGAAGATCTACGTGAGCTTGTGTTTCTTCTTGTTCATGTGTAGTGTTTGTGTGTTTGTGTGTTTGTGTGTGTGTGTGTGTTTGTGTGTGTTTGCGTGTTGGTGTGTGTGTTTGTGTTTGTGTGTGTTTGCGTGTTGGTGTGTGTGTGTTTGTGTTTGTGTGTGTGTGTGTATTCTTATGCACGCCCATGTGTTTGCGTTTGTGTTTGTGTGTGTATGTGTGTTTGTGTATGTGTGTGTGTGTGTGTTAGCGTGCGTGTGTTTGTGTGTGTGTTTGCGTGTATGTATTCTTATGCACGCCCATGTGTTTGTGTATGTGTCCGTCCTCCATACGCACCTGTGTGCATGTGGCTCCACCCAACACACGCGCTCTTGTCCACGTCACCCACCACAGCTCAGACCAGTGGTGTCGACTCGTTTTGGCCTTGCCCCACCATTTGTTCACCTCACCTAACCCAAACCCCCACCCCCCCCCCCCCTTCACTAACGCCAAATTTGCCGTCCCACCCGCTTCGCTCGTTTTGCTTCCCACGACAGACCTATGTCGGTGACATTCTGGTGGCTGTCAACCCCTTTGAGCAGCTCCCCATCTACGGCAAGGAGGTCCGGACACCATTTCTGCCCACTGGTGGCATTGCTGTGTCGTTGCTGTTGTTTCTTTTGACGAATGCACACCTGCTGCCCATCCTTGCCCTGCAGCGCCACAATGCAAAAACAGGGTACAGTTGTCACTGCGCTTACGCCACCGATGCTGTTTTCCTTGACCTTTTGCTCTCTCTTTTACGCTTCCAGATTCAAGCCAAGTACTATGACAGCGTCAAGTCGTCCAACCCGCCGCACATTTTCGCCATTGCGGATCAGGCCTACTTCACCATGGTCCGCAACTCCCGCAACCAATGCGCCGTCATCAGGTCGGTCTTTGTTCACACGCAGCAACACTCACCAGACCCGAACCGCCACCACCAAATGTCCGCGCCTGCACGCACACACACACACACACACCCATACACGGACACACACACACACACACACACACACACACATACACGGACACAACACACACACACCCATACACACACACACACACGGACACAACACACACACACACACACACGCAATACATGCCCCTCACCCCCCTCCCATTCTTCGCCTTTTGTTTTGCTATTCGCGTGCAGCGGCGAGTCTGGCGCCGGCAAAACGGAGAGCGCAAAGCTGCTGATGCGCCACATCATCCACCTGTGCCACTCTGGGACGGAGGGCCAGGACATTGAGCAGCGCGTCATCGAGGTGAACCCGCTGCTCGAGGCATTTGGCAACGCGGCCACTCGCATGAACCACAACTCGTCTCGCTTCGGCAAGTACACCGAGGTCAACTTTGACAACAACGGCCACGTCGTCGGCGCCAAGGTAAGATATATCGGGGTTGATGCTCACGTGTATGGCTGACCCCGTCCCCTCTTCCTGAATGCCCCTCTGCCGTCATGATGTTGTTCATATGCATCATTGCACTCACTCACCCCCCCCCCCCAACCGCACACACGCATACACACACACACACACACACATACGCACGCATTGAAACGTGGTTTGCAGATCTCGCAATACCTGCTTGAGAAGTCGCGTGTTGTGAAGCAGAACACCGGTACGTAATGAGGCCCATCTCTCACGCACCCTCTCCACGTGCGATGCAAACAGCAACACCACCACGACCAACAACGCCTGATTGCCTCACCCACGTGCCACTTGTCAACTGCTTACGTGTGTTGTCAGGTGAGAACAACTTCCACGTGCTGTACTACGTGTTTTCGAGCCCAAAGGCGCAGGCACTCGGCCTCACCAGCCCGCGCGACTTCCCATACGTCAGCACCACCCCTGGCCTTCCCAACGCTGCAAGGTGCAAACACGCCGGCGCTCTTGAATTAAAAGGGTGGCACACAGCGAGGAGTGCAGGGTGTGAGGCACGGAGACGCTACCTACCTACCTGTGGCCTGCTGTGTGTTACACTCTGCGCGTGGTACCTTGTATCCTTCGACTTGCATCCCACTCACCACCACCATCGCCATAACTGCCACGCACGTGTATAGGATGTACTCCAGTGTCGTGCAGGCGCTGGACACCGTCGGCTTTTCCCCGGTACAAATGCGCCTGATTGCTTGGTTCTGTGTGCGTGTGTGCGTGCGTGCGTACGTGTGTGTGTGTGTGTGTGCGTGTGCGTGTGTGTGTGTGTGTGCGTGCTCTGCCAAGCAACAAGCACAACAAGAGGCGGCTGGTACAGCCCCAGCTCAAGCAGGAACATGCCCGTGCGTTGTTCGAGTCTGTGAATTCACACCTTGACGTGCGCGCGCGCGTGTGTGTGTGTATACAGAGCGAGCAAGACAACATCCACGCCATCCTGGCTGCGGTGCTGCATATTGGCAACCTCGCATACTCGGAAGCCCGCCCAGACCAGGCGCAGGTCTCAAGCAGCCCCCAGCTCGTTGCAAAGAGTACGACACACATGCACACGCACATTGAGTTGCATTTTGCCCATTTTGTTTGGCAGACAGGCGCGCAGCCAACATGTTGGCTAGCATGCAGCCAAACAAACAATCCCTCCCAACGCACACACATACACACACACACACATCTATACATCTACACACGCACACACACACGCACACACACACGCACACACACATCTACACACATACACACCAACACACGCACATGTGCCACAACTTTATCGCGGCCTCACGTCGCTGCACGACTGCTGTCACGGTGCAGTCTCTGAGCTGCTCGGCCTCAACCCGGAGGAGCTGAAGGAGGCACTCACGGCAAAGACGACCTACACGCGCGGCGAGACCATCCGCCGCACGTACTCGTGCGAGCTGGCGCTGGTGTGCAGGGACGCATTTGCAAAGGCCCTGTACGGTCGCCTCTTCGAGTGGATCGTGTCCCACATCAACACGCTTCTCGCGCCAGGTCGGTCGTTGCATCCAATCGTGTGTCGTTGGATCAATTGTTGCACGCACATGCACACATATGCACGCACGCACGCACGCACAGACACATACACATACACACATACGTGTGCATGCACATCCACACATGAACACACACGTACACACACATGAACACACGCATACACACACACACACATGAACACCCCCTCTCACTCTCTACCTTCCTTATCCACTACCCAGGCATGTCCCATAGCACGAAGAAGAACCTGCTTGAGATTGGCATTCTCGACATCTTCGGCTTTGAGCACTTTGACCGCAACGGGTACGTCGCCTCGCACGGTGGCACCCTTGCTGCTGCAGCAGCTGTTTCTTGTTTTATGAGTGCATGCGGTGTGAACTAAGTTCCTTCTCATTCCTCCACGTCATCACCCTCACCCGTCACTGTTGCGTGCGTGTCCATCACAACCTAATGCCTTGTAGGTTCGAGCAGCTGTGCATCAACATTGCCAACGAACAACTGCAAAACTTCTTCAACGAGGTGTGAGGCCTCTCTTGCCAATGCCAATTGCGAAAATTCAGCCGTTTCACTGCGCAAACTGCGTGTGCGCACCCCCCCCCCCCCCCCAAACACACACGCACACACACACACGAACACCCCAAACACACACGCACACACACACGAACACCCCAACACACACACACACGCACACACACACGAACACCCCAACACACAGAGCTCATCGTCACTGCACACGTTACCTCACTGCAATCCAACTTTGCACACGGACTCCATTGACAGCACATTCTTTAACAAGAAATGGAAGAATACAAAAAGGAAGGGGTCCATGGGTTCCACATCCCCTTCATGATTATGGAAACTCAGCATCGGTTCTTTGCTTTAACGCCTAGAAATGTGCCGAATCAGTTCTGCCGTGAGGAGCCAACGTAAGTTCCAAAATCTCGCAAAAAGCATCAACCAAACGAATCGCCGCAGCATCGAGTTGATTAAGCAAGGCGTATATTAGTCGGGATTTGTGAGTCGCGAGCGTATTATGTCTCGGAATACCGGTGGGGCCTAGTTTCAGGCGAACTTGCCGCATATCAGATTCGCGCGGTGACAAGCCTTCGAAGAAAAGGACGATTCTCCCTGTGGCAAGAAATCTCCTATTGTGTCTGCGCAACGCGTAGCGACTTACTGAAGCGATAAAGTGGTGATCCCTTCACTGCGTGCCGCAGGAGTATCTATGCCTTCCCTAGGACTTCTTTTGTGCAGGAGCGGTCCCCGATCGATTACTATACGAGTTAGACAACAGACCCGCGAGTTCGGAAGGACCGTCTTTGAGAGTTGCGGAAAAAGACTACCGTTTCAGCCCGATCATCCCTAGAGGTACCCGGCGCATAGACCTTTGCCCTGCTACCCGGTATAAGACGGAACCACCCGGTTGTCGTGGCGGTATGTGAGATTACACACATTACTACTGCCACGCACGCACACACACACACACACACACACACACACACACACACACACACACACACACAAATCCCCGGCCTCTCCCCGCCCCTTCTCACTCCTGCAGTTGAGAAGTACAAGCAGACGTTTGCCTCGCACAAGGACTTCGCCCCCGCCCGCACGAGCGAGCCGTGCTTCACCATCCACCACTATGCCGGAGACGTGACGTACCACACGGAGGGATTCCTGGACCGCAACAAGGACGAGCTGCCCGCCGACGTCGTCGGCCTGTGCTTCAGCAGCAACGTGCCCCTCATCCACCAGATGTTCGAGGCGAACCAGGTCCGCACACGACAAAAGATTGTTACTTTGAAAGCGCTCCTGGGCGTGGGTGTCTTCGTTCATTTGGATTTGTGTGTGTGTGTGTGAGTGTGCGTGTGAGTGTGTGAGTGTGCATGTGTGTGATTGTGCCATTTTGATTGTGCACGCGCTTGTGAGTGTGCAAGTGTGAATTCCGTCTTCTTGTCTCGCCCTTTTGTGCCAGCGTGCCTTATCAACGGCTGACACCTCTCCATCTCCTGCCCCCCCCCCCCAAAACAAACAGGACGGCCAGCCAGGCAAGGGAGGGTCTGCTGGTACGATGAACACGGCCCGCAAGCGCGCACCGACCGTCGGCCACCAGTTCACATCGTCCCTCCGCGAACTTGTGGCCAAGATGCAGCGGTGCATGGTGCGTTGGCCGCTTGGCGGCGGTGCTCGCGAGCCTGCTTAGCTGCTTGACTGCTTGTGTTGTTTGATGTGCCTTTGTGTTGTTGTTGTGAATACAGTTTTGACACAGGACGTATGTGTGTGTGTGTGTTTGTACGTGTGTTTTTACGTGTGTGGCAAACATCCTCACTCTCTTTTTCATCATCGCACGTATCTTCCAGGCCCACTTTGTGCGCTGCATCAAGCCAAACTACGAGCAGGTACGGTGCTGCGACAGTAGCTGTGTACTGCACACACACACACACACACGCACAGATGCATGCTTGTACTCGTCTCCTCCAACGCCACGCTGCCTCCCCACTTGTCTCACTTCACCCATTTATCCCCTCGCCTTCCCTGCTTCGTGTCTGCAGGAGCCAAACAACTACGTCGACGAGTTTGTTGACCGCCAGCTTCGCTACACGGGTGTGTGTGTGTGTGTGTGTGTGTGTGTGTGTGTGTGTGTGTGTGTGTGGTTGTGCGAGCGTATGTGTGTGCTTGTTTGTGTGAGCGTGCGTGTGTGATTGTGCATGATTGTGCATGATTGTGCGTGCGTGTGTGTTTTGTGTCAAGCCTCGTCCCGTTCCTTGCTCATGGCCGCCATCGTAACCACACCCCTTGCCACCACCACCCTCGCACGGTGCAGGTATGCTTGAGACCACGCGCATTCGCCGCGAAGGTTTCTCCTTCCGCCCGTCGTTTGCGGACTTTATGGAGCGATTTGGCATCCTTGCATACGGGCCCTCGGCGCAGGTCGCCCCCTCTGCAGAGACGTGCCGCACCGTGCTGTCCAAGTCCAACGTTGGCGGGTGGCTCGTGGGAAAGACGAAGGTGTTCCTCAAGTACTGGCAGGTGGAGCAGCTTGACAAGAGCATCAAGCTCTATCACGACAACGCAAAGACCCTGCAGAAGCTCGCCCGCGGGTTTTCCGTCCGCAAGTGAGTGGCGATGTGTGCTCTGTGAATTGTGTTTGTATGTGTGTGCGTGTGCGTGTGTGTGTTGTGTGTGTTGTGGTTGATCATTTGATCGTCATGGTGGAGCGCGTTGTGTTGTGTCACCCCTCTTCGCGAACGATACGACCCCCGCCTCTTTTCCTTCATCTCTTCTCACGATGGCCTCATTACCCTGCGTGCCTGCGTGCTTCCGTGCGAAGGTTCGTGCGGACGGTGCGTCAGAAGCGGATGGAGCAGCTGCAGCAGATCAAGGCCTTCAGCGCCGATCTCTCCCGCACCGCCGCCCGTGAGTCAACACATGCATACGCACATGACAGAACTCGAGATTACAAACCTGACACACGGCTGTGTTAACGTGTGTACCGTGCGCACCCACACCCACATGCACCCAGCACACACCTGACACGTATGCGCTCATACGAACTTACCTTGTCGTTTTCGCTGTTGTCATGGCGCAGACTACTCGAACCTGATTAGCAGCCACGCCGCTGAGGACATGCGCCGCTTTGCCGCCGGCATCAAGCCAAAGGTGTCACGCACGCACATGGGCGCATTCACACACTTACACCACGCGCACAGCTACAGTTTGTTGGCTGCTGCCTGTGCACATTGTCATGCCCGAGTCACTGTCAACCACGACTGACTGCTCACGTTATTAATTGCCCATCGTTGCCTCTCAATCCAGCCCGCCGCACCGCCAAAGCCGCGCAAGTCCGAGAAGGAACTCAAGCGCGAAGCGTACGTCCCCATATTTTTGTGTACTCTGTGTGGGTGTGTGTGCGTGTCTGTCTCTGTGTTTCTGTCTGTCTGTGCCTGTGTCTCTCTCTCTCTCTCTGCATCTTCGCCCATGTGATGGTTTAGCTGTTGGCAAGCATCACGCGTTGCTCACGATCATTTGTCGCTCGTGTGCCAACGCTTCAGGTCCATCACGTGGTGGCGCGAGAAGGAGCAGCCAAAGGGCGCCGGCCAGGACGCCAACGGTGCGTGCAAGCATTGCTCCCCTGCCGTCTACGTTGTAGCCTTGCTCTGTGTGCCTGCTTATCGCTTTGAATACACGTGCAAGTGCCTCACACCACCGCCACCACCACCACCACCACTTCACCTGCCAGGACAAATGCTGGATTGGTTCCACGGCATCATCTCTCGTCAGGAAGCGGAGCGTCTCCTCAAGCCCCGGTGCGCCCACGACCGCCTGCGCCTGCATCCTGTCTTCTTCACACCACCCTGTCGTATATGATCCACTCCTCCCTGCTCTCCCTGCTTGCTCGGCTGTCGATGGGCGTTATCAACGACTCACTTCACACCTGTCCCCTCGTGCCATACCCTCATGCCACGGCAGCTTCATTGGCACGTTCCTTGTGCGTGTGTCTGAGAACCGGTTCGGGTACACGCTGTCGTACCGCGTCGCGGACCGCTGCCGCCACTACATGATTGAGCAGGACACGCGCGGTCGGTACGCGCTTCGTGGCGCGGACAAGGTCTGCAACAGCCTCAACGAGCTGATTGAGTGGTTCACTCGCCACCGCATCAACCCGGAGGGCGACATGCTGCGCGAACCGTGCGGCCAAGAGGTGCGTTGCGCATTTACACTTGAGAGAGGGGGAGGGAGGTGGTGAATGAGTGCTGTCTTCTTCATTATATTGCGCTTGCGCACTCGTTCGCATCCATGTTCTTGCTTTTGTTTTTCCTCCCTCACTCACCCACTCACTCACACCCTCACTCACCCACTCACTCACACCCTCACTCACCCACACACACACACTCACACCCGCCCACACACACACACACACACACACACTCTCTCTCTCTCTCTCTCTCTCTCTCTCTCTCTCTCTCACACACACACACACACACCCGCCCACACACACTCACACACAACTGCACGCCTCGCGTGTTGCAGATTAACGTTGTGACTGGTGAAATGGAGTGCAACTACGGCGAGCTTGTTGGCGGCGGGTACAAGCCCATGGCACCAGCTGCCTCCCGCCCGCTGCCATCGCTGCCCTCGCGTGGAGGTGGCGATGATGCTCCACCGCCAGTCCCGCGCAAGGCCAAGCCCGCGCACCTCGGCGGCGGCGCCCCACCGCCCATCATGCGCGACCGGAAGCCGACGCTGGATTCTGGCCCGCCGCCCATCAGCCGCGCAACGAAGCCGCGGTTGTGATCTGGTGGTTGCCCTGCCCGTCGGCAGCAGGCAGTACAACTGCATGCGCTTCTCACGCATGCATACGCGTGTGTCTTGTTGTTCGTGCTGGCCTTTTTGTCTTCCCGTGGCTGGGAAACCTGTTTCTCCCAGTTTCCCCTGATGCCACACAGTGTGGTCGTGTTGCATGTTGACTTGTTTCCTGGCTTCGCTTGCCTCTGTTGTTTCCACCCCTAACAATTTCCTCCGTTGACAAATATACACACGAAGCAAGCTCCGACAATGCCCATTACGCGCATCAAAAAAGTCTTGCAGTTATCATGGTTTGTCTTGGGTCGATGTGACTCGTGTTTGCGTGTCGCAGTTAACATACACGCACACACGCACACACACACACACACACACACCACACACACACACACACACACACACACACACACACACACACACACACACACACACACACACACACACACCACACACACACACACACACATGGTGGTCAGGCGTGGTGTCATGCTGCTGTAGCGGGCGCATCAATCCACACCGGGGTGGACCACGGCACTCGGTCCAACTCCGCTGATGGAGCGAAAGTGTAACGGAACACGGGCGAATGAGACATTGGTGAGAAACCATCAAGTGATTGACATGATTTGATGTAACGACACCCATCAACAACAGCAGCAACAAACACACACACACACACACACACACACGTACACACACACACGCACACACAATATCGCGCAACGCTTGACTGACGTTGTTTGTAGTTTGCGCGATCAAGGACAACGGCGTCACCATCATCCGAGCACTCTAGCCCAAATGCGGCAAGAAAAGTTCTGAGCTGTGCACGCGCAGCGGAGGTGGTGGGTGGATCATCAGCGTCATTGCTGTCATCACCTGCTGCTGGGGCGGATGCGGGCACTGCAGATGCAAACGATGGCGTGTGTGCCGAGACACGCGGTTGGTTTGTTGCAGAACGATGTGTGTGTGTGTGTGTGTGTGTGTGTGTGTGTGTGTGTGTGTGTGTGTGTTGGACGTGAGTGATTGTGAAGACGGACATGATGGAGCAGGCAGTGGAGAAGGCGAGGCATCATGCAACGCGAATGAAAACGCACATGCGAACAGCAACAGGCGTGCCATGGCGTCGAGAGAGATGCGTGAGGGTGACTTGGTGAGTGTAAATGCCTTCATCACGACAGCAAGGATGGTGGCCCGGATCTGGCGTGTGATGACACGTTGAAATGGGCACAAGTCAACAATGCAGACACTGGATGAGCGAACTCGCGTGGACTTGTGTTGGCGTTCACACACGCACATGTGCGCAAAAGAGGCACGCACATGCACATGCACATACATGCACAGGTACATACTCACTCACTCGCGCACCTGTACACACACACACATGCACATGTACATGCACACACCCGCTAACTCACAAGTTCACGCGCGCGCACACACACACACACACACACACACACAAACATGTACACACACGCACACACACACACGCACACACACACACGCACACACACACACACACATGCGCACATACGTGGCCAATGTGTCGGCAGAGACAGCACCGGGCAATAGGCGACGCTGCAGCCAACAAGCGCGCGGCTCGGGCATAGTTGACCAGTACTGGTACCCTGCAGAAGGACAGTCGTGGCGTCAACAACACATGTGTCAGCCCGGTTTCGTGTCTCGCAAATGTCAACCCCCCCCCCCCCTTCCCGCTCACGCATCGGCATGTTATGGGAAGCCGTGGTGCAAACGCGAGGGTGCTTAGGTTGGATGCAGCAAAAGCAGTGACACGTACGGTCTTGGTCGTGCTGCTATTGCATCCCTGAGGGACAAGGCGATGGCGAGTTTTCCAGGGTGTGATTGGGCTTGTGCCATGGTCATCTGCGTGTGCGGTGCGCGTGAAGCATGAGCATGTAGTTTGCGGAGCGGATTCACGCATGCATAACCATGTCGCGACACACTTAAAACACAGACGCACACACACATACACACACACATACACATACACACATACACACACACACCGAATCGGTTGGACGGTAGAGAAGGTATTCGTGAAATGGGGCTGTGATCGAGGCTTCCTGTGCCTGCAGCTCACGTTGTGCCTCGATACATGCTGCACTGTCACGGGGACAGCGGTAGTGTGTGCCTGCTGTGCTTCGCTGCGCCATGTCGTGCGCCCGGCGTTCGTCCAATTGCAGCCAAAGAGACATTGTGTCCAAATATCCGCGATCCACGAGCCCCATGGAGAAGTCTTTCACGCGCCGCAGGTGCACCCACGCCGTCACATAGAACGTCATCATGTCGCGCAGCACCGATAGCACCGCTAGACTGTATCCTGCCGACTGGCACCTGACATCCTTGCGAATGGCCCGAAGCCGGTCATCCACAAACTCAAACCACTGCACAAGCTGCCAAACACGTGCGTGAGTGTATGTGTATGTGAAAAGGAGAGAGAGAGTGTGTGTGTGTATGCGTGAGAAAAGGAGAGAGAAAGTGTGTGTGTGTGTGCGCGTGCTTGTGTGTGCGTGTATGTGTGTGTGGCAAGTACCTGCGTGTATGTGCGCGTATGTGTGTGCGTGTGGAGCATTCCCTTTCCTTCACACACACACACACACACACACACACACACACACACACACCCAAGCATGTACATAAACTGCAAAGGTCACGTACCCTGGAGTCTGGTGCACTGCGAGCGTTCTGGAGCTGAGGCGAGATGGCGTGGCGTTGAAGGTGGAGCATTGTTTGCCACAAGACGAGAGGCGGTCGAACGGAGGTCGGGGCGTTTGCGTCAAGTGCACTGGCGCCAACCGAGTCACGTAAGTACCGCTTCACAAACAGGGCTGTGTCTGCACGGCCATCGCGGCCCTTCTCAAACGCATCCACGTCCGGGATCTCCATGCGCATGGCCACCTCTGTCTCGGCGCACATGCGTTGACACCGCGCCTTGACGTGGCAGCACAACATGCACCACCGCTCGCCATCGCCGTTCGCGGCAAGGGAATGTTCCTCCTGTGCAGCGCTGGTTGGCACAGCTTCCACGACATCATAGCTTGCTGTGTCCTGTGTCTCCTCGCCCTTTCGCCACGACCCTTGCTGTTGCATGTATCGGTTTGCAATGCGACGTCGCTGCTGCGGCTGTTGCTGTGGCTGTTTCGGTGCATGCTGTTGCGGCATGTGTTGTTGTGGACTCCCTTGGCTGCTCCCACGACCCCTTCTCCTTCCCCTTTGTCCTCTGCGCCTTCCTCCTCGCCCATTACTGCCACGACCGCTGCAGCTACCGCTGCCTCGGCCACTGTTGCTGTCCTCCATGATGCCAGTGTCTTCTTCCTTCCTCTCTCTCTCTCTCTTTGTCCGCCTCTGTCTGCAAAACATGCATGCACGAATTCACACAACAGCCAACAACAAAGAAGAGCGTTGCCACAAAACACCTCCACGCCCAACAAACACAACACAACACACGCCATTGTGTTGTTCCTTGCTTGCTTGCTTGCTGCGTCGAGGAAGACCATGCAGGACCTGCAGGCAGCAGCGGGGTCGCAGGGACGCGTCAAGACGCTGGAGGAAGAGCTCAACACGGCGCTCCTGCAGCTCAAAGCAGAGCTGGGATCACAGCAACCCCAACAACAGCACCAACAACAAGCACAACAGGAGCGCAGTGGCGATGGAGATGATGATAATGCAAAGACACAGCGGCAGCAGAGGCGCGACTTTGCCAGTGCGCGGCGCACCATGGAGCGCGCCAGCAGGCACCACGTCACCGCCGTTAACATCCCTCTGAGCGCAGCGGTTCATCGGCTGCGCCGCACAACGCACATTGATGAGCTGTGCAATGTGGATCATGCTCGCCCACTCATGTTTCAGCACCAGCGGTTCCAGGCCGCACGCAGCCTCACCTACACGCGCGACATCAACACAGAGGACATCCAACACGCCCTTCGGCAGGTCTGCTGCTCAGCTATGACGCGCGCGCGCGTGTGTGTGTATGTGTGTGTGCGTGCGTGCATGTATGTGCATTTGTATGTGCGCGTGTGATATTTGCATTTCTGTGCAATGCCTTCTTACACGCGTGCACGCGTGCCACGCATAAGTGTGCACAAGCAAGTTCACGTACGTGTGCCCCAGCACATGTTCCTCTGTTTGTCCTGTTGCTCACTTGTATCCTCCCACACTCATGACCGCACGATCGATGGCATTGCACACTGACCCGCTTGTTCCAGTTCTTCTCCACCCTGGCCCAGGAGTGCGAGCTGCACCGAAAGCTGCTGGCGACGAGGTGGGCGGCGGTTGCCCACGCCAACCCGGCCGTCGCAGAGCAGCAGCGCCATCTCCTCGACGATGCTGTCCGCGCCGTCAGTGAGGAGGAGCAGCACGCGCGCGAAGCCACCCGCCGCCTCACCCCACAGGGGTCCACCCTGACGCCAAACGAGAACCGCGCCCTGCCGCAGGACGTGGAGGTCTACCTGCACCACGTCGTGGCCGAGTGCGCAGTCGCGCGCAAGTTCCACTTCTTCGCCAACCAATGCCGCTGGCTCCCGCTCACCGAGAGCGCGGCCCTCCGTGAGGAGATGCACAAGCCCGGGTTCGTGGCAGACATGACCATCCCCGGCGGCATCACCGATCACATTCGCCTGGCCACCAGCATGCAGTCGTCCACGCAATCGCTGCGGCCGCCTTCAGCCCACCGCCTCTCGTCAGCGTCAAACAGCACCAACAACACTGCCACAGACGCCAGCCTCGGGTCGACTGCAGCAGCACCGCCCATCTCGTCTGCCAGCGTGTCTGACATCGACCTCGTGCGCGTGCGCCCGCCGGAGATGTCCACGGACGTGGAGGGAAACTACGCCTGGCTGCTGGTAATGGCGGCGGCATGCGGTATTGATCCGCCCGCGCCAGGCCGCCACTACGACGAGGTGGAGCTCTTCTACCTTGTCAAGCGCATGTTCCGCGGACTGTTTGCTGCGCAGGCGTCCCACGGCCAGCACCGCGTGTACCCGGCAAAGCCGGAGGAGGAGGCCGCAGCACTGTCGTCGACACAGCGCGCACAGAGCAGCCAGGCAGCGGCAGCAGCAACAGAGGCAGCAATGGGCAGCGATGAGCATGTAGCGTCTGCCTACGGGCTCGGCAGCACGAGCAGCAGCGACACCACGTCGCACCCGCACTCCGCACGGCCACCGTCGTCATCAGTGCACACGTCAGCGCCGAGGGTCATGTATGTCAAGGGCATGGGCAGGGTGTTGCAGCTGCTGCCGACGCTGGACCAGGTGCAGGAGAAGCAGACGGCGCGCCTCATGCGGCTGCGGCGCTCCCCGGATGAACTGCTCAAGACTGAGGCCGATTTTGTCAAGCGACACGACGTGGAGTATGCACAGTTGCACCTCAAGCAGCGGCTGACCACGCTCGTGGCCATCGCGCACCGCGTCGCACAGGCGCAGCGCCGGCGCTACAGGCAGCATGGCGGGCACCACGCGCACCACAAATCGCTCAACGTGTCCTCCCACCAGGACGGCGAGCTGTTCTCTGGTGCTGTGTGGAACTCCATGTACAAGCCCAAGCCCCGCGCCCCGGACACCCGCCACCGCCACCACCACGACACTGCCGGGGAAGAGGAGGACGGCGTTGCTGGCGCCCGTCCACGCAGTGGTCTTCACAGCGCCCGCAGCGCAGGGGCCGGTGGGCGGTCGGGGCTGCGGCGGCAGGGGAGCCAGTTCCCAGATGGCAGCGGCGTCGACGACAGGCGTGACGCCCAGGGCGACAGTGAAGCTGAGGACGAGGGTGAGCGAGCACCACCCAACGGCACGAGCAGCAGTGGCGGTGGGCACATCTCCAGCAACGAAAGTGTGCTGGGGTATCTGTTGCTTCGCCACATTCACACGCGCGCGCTGCGAGAGGAGGCACAATCCATCCTCAACTACGCGTCGTCCGTGGCACGCACCCTCTCCCATTTTCTCAAGCAGGTGCAGATGAGCACCCGCATCTCCACGGACGACCTTGACCCGGTCTACAGCAGCAGCAGCAGCAACAGCGGCGTTGACGTTACCAGCAGCACGATGAAGATTGTCGAGGTGAGAAGCGACACCGATGACGAGGACGAAGCAGCTGCAGAGGACGCCGCAGCCGACACCACCTTCATCCCCGACACGTACGCGTACCACGACCCCATTATTGAGGTGCGCGACCGAAACGGCCTGCCCGTGTTGTACAAGGAGGCTGTGAGGGCGTTTGATGATTTGGATGGCACCTTGCTCGCGCTGGGTACACACTACCTGCACCGCGCTGCGGGCGACTCCGCGCCGCCCACGCCTGGCCGCAGGCGCAAGAAGGCAGCACAGCAGAAGCAGCAACAGCAGAAGCAAGGCCGTGAGCGACGCGGAGGCGGTGACAATGCTCATGGCACAGCCTCATCTGAGGCTGCGGGGAAGTCCTCCAAGTCATCATCGTCCCTCTCAGCGACAGCATCAACAACAACAACAACAACAACAACAACAACAACAACAACAACAACAACCTCAGCAGCAAGCAAGGGTGCTTCAACAACGTCTGGCAAGGGCGGAACGCGGGGCCGCCGCGCCCACACCGCATCTGTGCTGGAGGACGCATTTGTCGACATTGACAAGTACGGGCGGGCAAGCACGGACAGGGCTGCTGTGCTGCACGACCTGTGGCTGTGGGAGGTGGCCTTCCAGCGGGAAAAGCGGCGGTTGCTCGACCACTACATGTGGGCGCTGCACCACTGCCGGCATCCCCAGCGCCGCCTTCAGCTGCTGCAGGTGGCATTTGACCTCATCCACAGACGCCCGCGGTTTGATCTAGAGGACGACTACTTTGCGCAGTCGTACTTCCTGGCGTGCGAAGGCCTGCGCCTGGAGAAGAAGCTCGTGGCAGATATGGAGAAGCACTTTGCTTCGTTGCCCCCGCACCTGTCCCCTGTCGGGGCTCGCTCGCCTGTCGCCACCAGCAGCGACAGCGGTACCGCAGCAGCTGCATCAAACAGCAGCGTCGGTGGCAGCGTGTCCTCGCCATCACGCCGCACGTCCATGCGTGCACCGAGCCGCCCCTCCGGCACAGGCCCGCTCTACTCGCGCCGCCGGTCATCTGTTGCGTGGGCCGATGATGTCGGCAGTGGCGGTGGCGGTGGCGGTCGACGCACGTCATCCTTCTCCTTCAACGCTCGCCCGTCCACGCGCGGGAGAAATGGGACCGATGATGATGTGTTTGGCGCTCGCAGCGGCACCGGCGATGGTGCAGATGTCAATGCCGGTAACAATGGCGCTGGTGGCGGTGGTGGTGCTGGTGGTGCTGGCGACCGCGTGGATGTCGTGCACACGTTCACTGCAGACGACAGGTCCATGCAGCCGCCGCCCTTCGCCCTGAGTGATGTGCATGTCGCCACAGATGTTGTTGCTCTGCTCCCTGATGTGCTCTCGTTTGCTGTGGAGGAAGCAGCACGCATCTGCCGGCCGGATTCCCACACAACGTTCCTGCGCCTGTACAACGGCGTGCTTGTGCGCTGTCTGCGGGCATTTGAGCGGGAGTGCGAGGCTGCTGGCATTGGGCGCGACTGCTCTGAGGGCACGCGGCGGTTTGCTGTGAACCAGTTCCTGGACACGCCAGCTGCCGTTGTGAGCTGCAGCCAAGGGGCGGCGCACGACCAGGGTAAGGCCGCACTGGAGAAGGGCGCAACAGACATGGAAGTGACCAAGGTCAAGCTGAAGGTGGCGTGCACCACACTTGAATTTGTGCGCAGCAGGCACTTGCTGCTGCAGTCGTTCCAAGAGAGTGTGGTGCTGATGAGATTGTACCGCAGCATCTGTGACAATCTGCGTCTTGGAGAGCACCACGCGTTCACCCGACCCGTCACGTTCAATTCAGCCACCCTGGCAAAGGTTTCGGTGCGTCAGCTCTATGCGTGCGTGCATGTTCGAGCGTGTGTGTGCGTGTGTGTGTATGTGTGTGTGTGTGCGTGTGTGTGTGTGTGTGCGTGTGTGTATGTGTGCGTGTGTGTGTGCGTGTGTGTGTGTGTGTGCGTGTGTGCGTGCGGTGCTTGTGTGTGTATGTGTGCGTGTGTGCGTGCGTGCATTTTGTGTTTGTCTGTTTGTTTGTGTACGCCTGCAAGGCAGCTTCCCATGTGTTCAGAGAACCTCCCCCTTCCGGTTGCGACCCACTCATGTCCCCTTCACTTCTGCGTGTTCGCTTGCATGTGTCACTCACGTTCCTTCCTTGCTTGCGCCTCCCTTCACTCGCCACCCCACATCCCATCTGTGCTTACTGATGACTCGATGCAGGATTTGGCGTCAGAAGACCCGTTTGTGTCTGGGCGCTACGACTTTGCCTTGGCAGAGCTTGACGATGTGATGGTTGAGAACGCCATCGCGTGCACCCCGGAGCAGCTCGCCACGTTCATTGACAAGAGCATGGGCAGGAGCACAAAGGCCGAGCTCCAGCCGCAAGACATGGCAGGCTGCCGGGCCAAGGACAGCAAAACCAACGACGGCAGCAGCGACGCACACGTACGCCGGGAGGTGTGGCTGTACTCGGGGCCGCTTGGGGACCTGCGAGCACTTCTGCATGCCCAAACCGTGCACCTGCACCTGCTCACGGCCTGCGTGAACCATGCTGAGGTGTTCCGTGGGTGCTTCACGCCAGAAGCACGCCGCATGCACGACGCCATCCAGCGGCTGGTGCGGGAGGAGCAAGAGGATGTGGTGGAGCAGCGCAAGACACCGCTTGAGCTCGCAGCAACACTTGGATTCGTATCTCTGCAGCTGGTCAAGCGACGGGCGCGCGCGGCGATGCACGAGCAGTACTTCCGGCTCACGTCGTCCCGTGATCCGTTTCTGCTCAAGCGCGAGATGGTGTATCTGTTTGGCGAGAAGGTGGCCGAAGAGCAAGAGACCATTGTACTGCGCACACAGCTTGCCACGTATCTCGCCAGCCTGCAACAACTGCTTGACGCCTTTCCCTCCACTCGCGACTACTACTTCTTGGCTGGATCGCCAGACCTCGTGAGTGTACATGTGTGTTTGTATGTATGTTTGTGTGCGCGTGTGTGCGTGTGTGCGTGTGTGCGTATATGCGCACGCGTGTGCGTGCTCGTGCGGGTGTTTCTGTACATGTGTGTACACATACGCGTGTGGGACTATATTTGCGCGAGTGTACGCGTGTGTATGTATGTGTGTGCGTGTATGAATGCGTGGATGTGGGCATGTACATGTACGTGTGCTGCGTCTATTTGTTTTGTGTGTACATGTATGTATTTAGATGACGCGTTGGATTACTTTGAGGTACACGTGCATTGCTTCCGCTACCCTTTTCCGGGTGCTGCTCGGCTTGGCTGACCGACGATTGGTTTTACTCCACGGCTGTCGTCTGTTCACAGCATGATAAGCGAATGAAGGAGATGAACGGGATGATGGATGCCCCGAGCGCGCGTCGCACGATGCTTGAGGTCAAGATGAGCGAGCAGCATCTCTCCGAGGCGCAGGAGCGCTCCCAGCGTTCTCCATTGCAGATTCTCTCGCGCAACGCAGACACCCTCCTCAACCTCTGGTGTGTGTGTGTGTGTGTCTGTGTCTGTGTGTCTGTGTGTCTGTGTGTCTGTGTGTCTGTGTGTCTGTGTTTGTGTGTGTATGTGTATGTGTGTGTATATGTGTGTGTGTGCGTGTGTCTGTGTCTGGGTTTTGCGGCGGCTAGCCATCAGATTCACCACCACCCCATCCTCGCACACCGTTTTGCTGTTCATTGCTGCTTGCTGTGACTTAACCCCACCCCGCAACCATCATCTACCAACCACCATCACCACGCTTGCTTGTGTGTCTCTGGTTAGGTATTTACCGTTCCCTGAAGAAATTCTGCAGCTCTACAGCCATCTCCCCGCCAACGGCTGCAAGTCTGGGTTCGAGGTGCGCTGGCCGCGCTGCCGCTCGTCATGTTGTGCCTCGTGTGCATTCCACAAGGCGCTGTTGTATTTCAATTCGGCCGTGTCGCAATGACAGTGTGGCTCGCATGTACAATGTCCAAGCACACACGCACACCCGTGATTGTTCTCGCCCCCTCCCCCACCCTCATGCCATCTTCCCATGATCATCATCCTTTCATTGGTTTGCCAACAGGCGACACTGCAGCTGCTGGCGCCGCTACACGACATTGTCATGTTCCTGTGTGCACACGCGCGCCTCGGCAGCTCGCATGCGCGGCTGGGCACGTACGACGTGGCCTTCCAGGGCGTGGGGGCCGACTGGGGCGGAACGGAGGGCATTGGCACGGAGCTGAGGAAGATCAAGAAGGAGCTGGGACAGCTGCCAGAGCCATCAAACCCAGCCGTGGTGGGTGGTGGCGTGTGTAAAGGGGGGGGGGGGTCACGTGTGTGTATGTGCGTGTCGGGAGGGTGTTGTGTGTCTGCATGTGAGTATGTACATATGTATGTGTATGTGTGTGTAGGGAGGGTGTTATGTGTCTGTATGTGCGTGTGTGCACGTGTATGCACGCGCGTGTGCGTGCGTGTGTATACAAACCCTGTGTGTGTGTGTGTGTGTGCGGGGCAAAACGCTGTGGTGCATTTGCGTCTGTGTCACCATGTGTGTCTGCCTGAGTTCAGGCTGTACACGGAGCCACACTTTCAAACACTTCTCCACTCACACACACTCATACATGACGCACGCAAAACTGTACGGGCGTTCAGGTTGCGGAGTATCTGAAACGAAAGCGAGACATGATGTTTCTGGAGTGGAACATCACTGTGAAGCATTACGTGCGGGAAACGTTTCTTGGAATGCAGAATCAGCATGCGTACGACATTGTGACCGCCAACATCCACACGGGATTGCCACCCCTGGGATCTGCATTCAAGGTATTGGCATACGTGATGTGCGTGTGTGCGTACTGTTGTGTGTGTGTGAGTGTGTGCATGTGTGTATTGTTGTGTGTCATTACGGCCGCGTGATGTGTGTGTGTGTGTGTGTTCCTTCGTGGTGTGTGCATGCATGTGCCCGAGCCACACCGCCCTCGATGTGCGAGTCTCATAAGGCCATGCCACCCCTAACCCACCTCGCACAGCAACCAAGCGTTCTTCTCTGCAAGACAGATGTTCTTCCTCGCCACGTCGACGCGGCAACTCAGGTTTGTGGTGGCTTCGCTGAATGACCACACGAATGCATCTCGTGTTCGCTGTCAGCTGCATGCGTAAACACACGCGCTCACACTGCACACCCGCGCATTGCTCTTCTGTGCTCACCTCGACAACACATCACCACTGTGACTGGATCCCCCCCCCCGCTGTTCTGTTGCACTGTAACCTGCCCTTGCAGCGGTCCCGCTTTGCAACGGCGCACTTTATGTCGACAAGCGGCCCATTCGTGCTGTGCGAGCCGTTTTACTCCAAAGTCACTGAGTACATGGAGATGTGTCTGTCGAAGCTGACGGACATGGAACGGCACACGTCCAACGGCGAAGTGCTCGGGCTCAGTCTTCTTCTCGAGGACATCTCAGAGCAGGAGGTGCGAGTCGTGCGCATGTGTACAAGCAAGAGAGAAAGTGTGGGCGTGCGTGTGTGTGCGTGTGTGTGTGGTTTTTTTTTTTATGTTCGTCGTATGTTGCATAGTGTGTCGGCTGTGGTGTGTCTTTGCTTGTTCAACGATGGTTGACGGTGCTGTGTGGTGTATGCCCTCATCATCCACGACTATCGTTTCGCTGCAGTTTGGAACGGAGGAGAAGAACCCGCTGCAGCGGTTGCAAATGCTGTCTGAGTTTCTGGTGACGTCCACGCAACTTGAGCAGCTGCGCGTGGAGTGGGGCCGCGTTATGCTCGGTCGCCCCATCGATAATCCGCAGGCCTTTGAGGAGTTTGTTTCGCTCTTTGATGCAGAGGTCGTCAACCCGGTCGTGCGCCAGATCAAGGCCACCATGCCGGTCAGTCTTGATGTTGGTACCAGTGTTTGGTATTTGGTACTTGGTGCTGTGTGTGTGCGTCTGTCTATATGTTTGTGTGTGTGTGTGTGTGTCTGTCTGTCTGTTTGTTTGTCTGTATGTATATGTGTCTGTATGTATGCCTGTGCATGAAACGTACTTCGCCTCTGCCTGCGCATGTATGCATGTATGTGTGTCTCTATATATGTCTGTATGTATGTGTGCACATGAAACACACTTGGTTTCTTTTGCGCATGTCTGATGTATGTGCCCTCTCTGTGCATGCTTACATGTGTATCGGTACACCCCACCCACGACACCATCCACACCGTCACATCTCAGGTTGAGGATCACGTGCACGCAACAAAGACGCAGCTGCGCTCCACCGCGGGCTCGCTCGTCGGCCACGGCACCGCCCTCGAGCTCCATGGGCTGCCGGAGTGGGAATACCGCAAGATGCTGGTGCGTGGTGTGATGGTCACGTGTGGTTGCGCTGGCCTGGTGGTCAGGTGTTGTGATGGTTTGTCTGTTGAGCGCTGACGCTGGTCTCATGTACACATGCGGTTTTCCGTGTCAACTTACATGCATTGTCATCACGGTATTGAGTGCATTGCAGGTGGAGGAGCTGAAGGCGCAAATTGAGTGCCAACTCATTCGCGACACCATGACGATTGTGACGCGTGTGCACACGCGCGTGGTCGAGGAAGCGACACGTGAAAACGACCTGCTGCCCTATCAACTCTGGCTCTCGGGAGCAGCCCAGTCAACACACGTGCAGCTGCGCCGCCGCCGAAAATCCGTACGTGTCGCTGCTGTGTTGGTGCACCTGCGTCCACACCAATGGGCTGTTTGGTGTGGTTGACGGCATCAAGTGATTCACGCTGTCGAGCGATCGACACATGATCGTGCCCCGCTGCTCCCCTACGCACTCACACACGCACACTCGCATACGTCCACACACGCACTCAAGCACTCACGCACATTTTTGTCTCACACACACACGCACACGCACACGCTCACTGACGCACATTCACACCACACCGCATGTCTACCACCCCCACCCGCACGTGTACAGGTGGCTGGATTGAACATTCCGCGCCACATTGCGCGCTGCTCCCTCGCTCGCGATTTCGTGCATGAGATTCTGTCGCAGTGCCGGCAGACGGAGGGCGACACAAACGAAGTGGCCGTTCCCATGCAGCACTTGCTCGAGAGCTTGCAGCAGCTCTGCATCAACATCAGCACACGCGAGGTGCCGTAACCGCTTTGTCTGTGTGTATGTCTGTGTGTATGTCTGTGTGTTTGGACTGGCGTCCCTCTGTTTGCACCGCTTTCTGCATCTTTTATATATATATATATATATATATATATATATATATATTTCGCGTAAATACGTGTCGTGCTCTCACCATTTTCCATTTTCAACTCCCTTGGTGTGATGGCCCGGTTGCTGAGAGCAGAAGGAGCGGTACAGCGCATTCAACGGCCTCTACAATGTGAGTACACGGCTTGATATGCGCGCTGTAGATACGATAGTGTTGCTCTCATGCGCATACATCTGCGACATCGCGTTGTCCAACCTAACGAACTGAGACGCGCGCACACACGCACATACACGTGCATGTACAGGCGGTTGTGCACGAATTGCAGCAACGGTTGCAGAGTGCAGAGAAATTGATTGCACAGATGCAACAAGACTTTGCGGCAGACTTGATCCGGAGACAACACGAGGTATGTGTGTGTGTGTGTGTGTGTGTGTGTGTGTGTGTGTGTGTGTGCGTGGGCGCGTGCTTTTTGGCTTTTGACATCACACCACCTAACCATGCTCTGCAATCGACGTCTTACCATTCAACACACACTCACGCACACGTACGCGTGATTGCCACCCATTCTCCCAACTTCCCAGGTCCAGTGTGGCATTGCCGACCGCACACATCACCTGGTGCAGGAGATCACGGCCCTGCGGTCAAAGGTGTCCCGCCTGCGCGAGGAGAAGCAGACGCAGGAGCGCGACATACGCGAGCGCGTGAAGCGTGACTATGACGACCTGGTGAACAACCTGTTCTCGACCAGCTTTGCTCTGAAGAACCGCTTTGAGGAGTACCGCCTCAGCCTCTACGAAGACGTCGTACAGGGCATGTTCGAAGTCAGAAAGGTGAGGGTGGCACATGGCTGTGCATGTGCGTGTGCGTGTGCGTGCGTGCATGTGTGTGTGTGTTTGTGTATTTGTGTGCGTGTGCATGGAAACGTGTGCGTGTTTATTTGTGTATGTTATTGTGTGCGTGGGTGTTTGTGTGTGCTATTGTGTGCGTGGGTGTATGCGCGCGCACGCGCATGTGTGTGTGTGTGTATTTCTGTGTGCGTATTTCTGTGTGCGTGTTCGTGTGCGCCTTTGAGCGTGTCATGATTCGCTATTGTACGAAACAATGCCAGATGTGACACTACATTGCATCTGCCTGGTCATTGCCTGGCTCTGCTGTGCTTGTTTCCTTGGGCGTGATTGTGTGTTCAGAATGCGCTTCAACGCATGAAGATGATCAGCGTCGGGAAAAGCACCGAAAAGCTTGAGCGCGGGCTCAACCGCGCAGAGGATTTGAGGAACGTGCAGAGCGAAAACGCCAGCCTCACAGCACTCGTGCTCAAGGTTCGCTGTGTGTGGGTGTATCTGTTTGGGGGGGGAGGGAGGGAGTTGTGCAATCGAGCGTATACCTGTGTATGTGTACTTGCGTCATTGTGCATCCCCGCTTGCATTTGAACAAAGCCGCCGCCGCCGCCTCCATGACGCAATATGACAGCCCTCGCGCACCTCCCTTCCTCTCTCCTCAACCCACTTTTCCCAATTTTCCTGAACCCAACTCCCTCTACATCGACCCAATTCAGATGCGGACCATGAACGACTGGAAGCGCACGGGTCTTCGCTCCTTCTACGGCCAGCGCGTGTATCAGGCCATGCAGGTGGCAACAGCCGTCAAGAAGGAGCTTTGGGAGACACAACTCCAGGTTAGGGCGATTTAACCCCTTGATGTGATGCAATGGCCTCGTTCTCTGTGCACATTTTGTTGACGTGTTGTCGTGTGCAATGACCCGTAAGCGTGCATGTGCTGGGACGTGGATGTTCGCACTTCGCTTCTGCTCCTTCCTCCTTTCTCACGATTGAACACACGCCCAATGCGGCAATCGATTGAATCTGGACCAGATGGAGGAGAAAGCGACGCAGCACCAGCACGAGGTGACAGCGCTGAGGGCCGAGCTCGTGCAGGCGAAGAAACGCATCGATCTCCTTGAACACAACTACAACGAAGAGAAGCGCGCACGACAGGTTCGTCGCACATACACGCCTGCACACACACACACACATGTGCGTGCATACGCTCATATGGATGGTGTGGTGGGTGTGGCGTGGGTATTTGCGTTTACATTAGGCTGCATCGCCACCACATGTCTGCATGTGCCACGACACGCTCATCTGACATGGAACTGTTGTCACCTCTTGTCACCTCGTGCTTTGCCTGACACGCATCGTGGATCACAGGCGCTGCAGCAGTGGAAAGCGAGCAAATCGCAGCTGATCACGGCTGTTGAGCAGCAGGCGAAGAAATACGCGCGGTTGAACGTCGACGTGGACGACATCTTGGAGGAGCTTGGTATGGTGACAAGCAGGGGGAGATTGTAGAAGTGGTATCACGGAGCAATCACAAATCATTGCTCTGCCCACAACGCAAGCACACACACACACATCACACAAGCACACACATATCGCACACACGCGCACGCGCGCGCTCAGCCTCTTCACCGCGCTCATGTTCTTTGCTTTGCAACTGCAGAGACGCGCACACGGGAGGTTGACGAGTTGAGGACATCACTGGAGCGAACGGAGAAATCGCACACGCTGGAGAAGGGCCGGCTGAAAAGCGAGCTGAAGAAGATTCAGCAGCAGCTGTCGCAAGAAATGCAGGCGAAGCAACAGCTGTTGTCGCAGGCGATGGCGGAACATGAGCATGAGGAGGACAGTGACGATGTGTTTGATCGGGCAGCGACAACCACCCCTGCTTCAGCCAGACCGTCCTCGTCACGGCTTCGTGTAAGTTGTTCTGTCTTCGATACCTATGCGTGCACTGAGACTTGATTGCTTTAGCATGTGGCTGACACACATAACTGACATTCACTCTATTATGCCTGGCATTTCGTGGGCATCAATGTGTGTGTGTGTGTGTGTGTGTTCATGTTCAGCTCTCTGCGCAGAATCGTCGGCTTCAACGACCAACGTCCGCCATCAACACACGTACGTGCGCGCACTTGTGTGTGGGGGGAGGGGTGCATGCGTGGGTCGGTGTGTGCATGCATGCGTCTGTGTGTGTGTGTGTGTGTGTGTGTGTGTGTGTGTGTGTGTGTGTGTGTGTGTGTGTGTGTGTGTGTGTGTGTGTGTGTGTGTGTGTGTGTGTGTGTGTGT